GAGGCCACTCGAAAAATCGATAATGGCATCCCGCATTAGTGATGTTTCTAAGATGCTCCCGCATGTCAATCGCAGCTATATCTGACTGCTCGATTCTGAAGAGCACGTCTCCAGTTGGTACCAATCACCCTTTTCGATGTGCGTAGATCTGCGTAGTATCACTGTGAAATATTGGTTTAGGTGGTCTGGATGATTAATGGGATTCCGTTATCCGAATCTGACAAGATCAGATTTATCAGCGAAGATGGAATATGTATTCTAACAATTACCGATGTTTCCAGGCATTTTGACGGTATCGTCACTTGTCAAGTAAGTTCCACTCATTTTTTTTTTCGATGATTTTGGAAATGTAACTCAAAAATTCGAAACTCCTCCTGTATTTTATTAAGATATGCATTCAGATGATAGCACACTAGCAAGAGCGAACATCCGCTGACGAAGTTTCTGGAACTTATGACTTCTCGTAACTCGAGATAGCTGTAAATCGTAAAAATGTCGTTGGTAACATCTTTAGATGTGAGGAAAATCACTTTTCAGCATCTACGCAAGCATTTGTGTGGAGTCAAAGGTTAATTCAGTGTGAGTTTGTTTCCAGGGTGTAAATCGTCTTGGTACGCAAAACTGTGATGCTCATCTGAAAGTACGGGTACCACCTGCTCCGCCGCATTTTGAACGTCCGCTGGAGGACAAAATTACACAGGAAGAGCAGAGTGTTGTTCTGGAAACGGAAATCAGCGGTTTTCCGGAGCCCAAAGTTTCCTTCACTATCAAAGGAAAACCGGTAAGCTGTTTTAAGATAAAAATTGAAAAATTATAAAGTCGAAATAAATTGCAAGAAATAATGGAGATCGAAGCTTGCTCTGTTACGATTCCCTGCATGGTGCGCTTTCTCGATGATTTTCTGCAAATACCTCTGCTGGGCATATACATGACAGTTACTCTGCTGGACAGCTGTGTCCAACTCAGAATTCGAAATAAGATGGCACCGATCGGCTAAAATAACATGCTAATTTTGTTATTCTCCTCCACCAAGTGCTATCGCTTGGGTTACTTTCAAATGCATCAGTCCCTCACAAATACCAAAGTGCGATGAGATTTAAATGAACATTTTTTACTTTTTTTTGAACTGGTTTTATTTTGCATCACTTTTTCGAATTTGCCGCTACGAACCTGAATAGATTTTGACTTTTCTTATGAAACTTTGAATCATTCTTCAAACTTTTGTGCTTTTAACGCATTTTCAAAGTGCATCAGAAGGGCCGTTATGTTAACTTTTAAAAGTATGTTGGGGGAGAAGAAGCATGACACTTGTGGAGTTCCACTCCACCACTAGGGCGGCCAATCCCTTTGAGATTAGTTCATTCTTTTTGATGGAAAGTTGGTACTGGCACATGCCTCTAGGAGTCAAATCCGCCATCACCTTTTTTCTAGGCAACAAAGGAAGGAAGAAGCCACCGGAAAACTTCCCAACGGCTGTCGCTGTTTGCACTTGCTACCACTCGGACCACTCTCGAGTTTTTCACAGAGAATCAGTTACGAAGGGGGCTTCAAAATTGACTTTTGTCTTAGCAAACTGTCTATTACATGCATTCTTCTGCAGCTAGTGCTGACTTCGAACTATAGTAGCATAAATTCATTTGACCATTTTAAATCGTAGATTATGTGCAGATTTATCCGGATCCTGTGTATAAATTTCTCAAAGATAAATAATTCTTTGAAGTGCAAGAGGAAATAATATGTTGTGCAAGTCGGGGAGTGTCAGATTAATGATCCGTGGATGTGAGCCTCATCCTGTTGTAATCTTAAATCAGCTGCTCTTTCATTCAGCTAGCGCTACGTAAATAAAAATCAGGCAGACTTATACAAATAATCACACATACATACGCATACAAACAGACTTGTGCACACAGACATGCCTACATACATATACACCGACATACAAACACATGCACGCATAAATACACATACATACGCAAACATACAAACATACACACATACATGCACACTTTTCCGGATGCTCTCGAGACTCTCAAGCAGCTGAAGTAGCGCTGTCATTTATTTATTAAAAATAACAGATCAAAAGCAAACACGCAGCATGTGATTTGATTGACAGATGGTAACAAAACAACAATGCAAATCTTCTGCAGCATCAAATTTGATATGATAAGAATTCAAGAAATAGGGGCGAGCTAATTCCCTATGCGCCGTAACAAAAAATATCATCGGTAAAGAAAGCCCGTGGAAATTTCAGGTTGTGTCCGGCGAAAATGGGGTTGAAATTATCGACAAAGGCAATGGCTGCTATCGCATTGAGATTTCAAAAGCAAGCATCGATTTACATGACGGAGAAATTACTTGTACGGCATTTAATGAACACGGACAAGCGGAAAGTAGAGCACGATTAGTCGTTGAGCCGGTCGAGGAGGCATCTCGCTCGGCGCCAACATTCGTCAAAGATATCGAAGATCAGGTTCGGCTTCTTTAGCCGCTGGTTTCAAATCCTACGTATTTTGAAGAAGTGGCAAAAATCGAAACTTTTCCACTAGACGATGTTTGAATTGATTACATCTATCCTTAGATCCCCTGACTACCTCTACTTGTAATCTAAATAATGACAACATTCGAGAGAAGATGATGGTTTTCTAAAATACAATAATAAAATCTTGAAAAATGCTTCTGCTGAGAGAAGTCAAGCTAGGATCCCTTCCGGCAACGAAATGAGCGTAAGAAATGACGGGAGTTGATCACCATTGATGTAGCGTTAGTCAAAGTAACCGGAACAGTTGCCAGTTGCATAGGGTAGAATCAGTTGATCGAAGGATCTCCCATCTGGTCCCATGTTGCTTGAAATGGCGTCGGACTAGCCACAATAATCACCAGCATTACTTGCAAGTAGTACGACTTGAGACAACTCAACGCATGAAGCTATTACCTCTCTGGATTCCTGAATCTTATCTAATTCATCGAATCCTCCCCTGCACTCATATGCGACACATATGTACACCGATTGTTAGCAAAACGAATAGTTTAGCTCATCCCTCTGATTTTTTCCTAATTTTTCTCTCATTTTCTCCTCCGAGTTGCCAAAAATAACATGGTTTCAAGAAATCTCGGACTGAATTTTTTTAATACTTGCTGATCATTGCAGACTGTGAAATTTGGCGAGAAAGCGGTTTTCGAAACGTCTGTTCGCGGTAATCCAAATCCGGAAGTTACCTGGTTTATTAACGGCCAAAAATTGGACAAATTCACGCCCGGCGTGCTCATCGAAACAATATCAATCACGGATCACAAGCTTACACTCGATTCGACACAATATGCTGGCACTATTCTTTGCAGGTAATTTTTGATTTTGGAGGAATTAATTTTCAGACAAGTAAACTTTTTAACAAAATCAACTAATTTCCTTCCTTAATTTTGAGAATCTGCATTGAGTGAGCCGTAATTATCAAGAGGTTATTAAGTTTTAATTTTTGAGCGTAGGAAAGCTAAAGCAGTTTAATAACTCAAATTTGAGGATTGCTCGTAGCAGAAAGACCAGCAGGTAATACAGCAACAACTGTGAAAATTGTTGGCTGCAAATTGAGAAATCAGACTATGAACTGTAGCTTGTTAAAGTATTCAAGCAGTGCACATAAGCTGAGTTCAGCAGTATATTCTATTAAGGGAAAGGGAGGGAATAATCAGGAAACATGCGTATTAGGCGAGAATTCACATTTGTTTTGCTAATAATGTGCGCCAAAATCATGCGCATGCAAAGTTTTGAGTTGAGAAAAACAGTATTTAATCTGTGTTTTGATTTAACATCGAAACTAATGAGCGAATCGTAAAGGGGATAGTTGCTGTTATAACAGAACTGAACCTTAGTTCTTTTGCACGACATCAATTTTCCATTATCACTTTTGAAGGAATTATTTTTTTTGATGGACTGAAGGAATTATCTACTAATTTTTAGCGGTTACCCACAATTTTTCAGAGCTGAGAATTCTGTTGGACGTTATGAAACAAAAGCTAAATTGACAGTGGTATCAGGAGAAAAGAAGCGAGCGCCAGAATTCATTGAAAAATTAACCGACCGTAGTGTTGTTGAACAGTCAACTACTGTATTTGAAGTTCGCATTGAAGCTCAGCCAAAAGCTGACCTGAAATGGTTCCTGAACGAGAAAGAACTTACGGAGTCAGAGGTATTCCTGCATCTCTTTTTATTGGGTTTGATCCATTCTTCTATTTTCAAGTTTCCGGAAATTCTGAATTCCCGAAAATACCAAGGTTGGGCCCTGAAGGACTGACGAGATCGTATATTTGTACGATAATTTGCTGTGGACAAATGCAACTTGTAATGTTCACAGTTTTTTGTGCCCAAAATTTTATATTTGCTCGTGTTTGAATGGTTGAAACGACTGTTAGTTCACTGCTGATTTGTATTCGGAGCGTAGTCCATGAGTGTAGCTAACAACCATGCCATCCGCTTTGCTCTTGGATTGTTCGCGCACTGTAATATACAGCACACCGTATATTCGTGTAAGTCAGCAGACCAGTTCAGCGCCGTTGGTGGCCTTCCGATTGTTATTTTAACTTTTTGTGATTTCAATCGTTTATTTGCTTTGGTTCACTTGTTGTCTGTGCTTTGTTTTGAAACTTCAGTACTAGTCTAAAGTCTCCATCTGAAATAATAAATTATTTCTGGGTGCGTGAATTTTTATTCTAGGCTTTAACATAACAACTTTCAGCGTATCAAAATACGAGAATTTGATAGCAGCTGGAAATTAGAAATCAGCAACCTGACTATCGAAGAAACTGGTACCATCAAATGTGTAGCCGAAAATTCAGAGGGTCGTGCCGAGTCATCTGCACACCTCGAAGTTACTGGGAAACCGTTTGCACCACAGTTTGAAGATAGACCAAAAAATGTTACTGTTGAACGAGGTCAGGAAGCACGATTCGAAGCACACGCTCGTGCCATCCCGGAGCCAAAATACCAGTGGTCAATTGGTGGTCGCAAAGTGAAAGAAACCACAGAAGGTGTTAAAATTGAAACCGTAAATGGTGTCTCAATTCTCATCATCGATACCAAATTGTTTGGTTCATCGACGATATCCGTAACAGCAGAAAATACGCTCGGTATGTTTTCTG